TATATATATATATGTATGGGCCGTTGTCAATTCTTTTAAGCTTTAAGGAAAAAAAAAACATCAAGGCAGAAAGAAAACGAGTACAACCGTTCCACTGTGGCATGACAGCCATTTGACCAGGTGTGTAACTGATTATCCACAACCTGTTTGATGTTTTGAAATCCTGCAGGTCAGCCATTTTTAATGAGAATGAATGACTGCACAGCTTTGATTTTTGGTTGTCACCAACTGTCTACTAGGCACATTTGGGCCTATACAGATCCTAATGGCTCTGTACCAGAACTATTAAATGTCAGATGTGACCACATAGTTGTGGCACAGCTGGGCCATATAAGGCAGACCTGTGAGTGAGTTTTGGTCGCCGGACTGATTGTCAAAAAGTAGGAAAAACTGCATACAGCTAAAAGTTTCCTGTCGTTCAGTTACAGGCCATGTTTAGTCTTGACTGATGGTGTTGCCTGTATATATGTAGCAAGGTTTTCTGTCATTTTTATGACTTGTTAGCATGCAGTAACTGATGTGACTTCACTGAAAGCACTGAAAGAGATGCAAAGATGCGGGCAGGCAGGAGAAAGGAGAAAACATCGCAGGCCTAATGTTTTGTGCAAAGTGTTGGGGACAAATCAGTGGAGAAATGCTGCAAATAAAAAAAACTGTCAGTCCTCTAAATTTTAATCTTTTATCTTGATTGCCTGGCAAGATTGCCTTTCACTCTGCTGCAGATAAAGCATGTTCAATTGGATTGAAGTGAACAGAGATAATATCCCATCAGTGGCATGAAAAGGGTTGCAGCAAATCAGAGTGGTAGATGTGTCTCCGGCCATTACCCACCTGTTGTATTAGTTATGTAACTCTACTCCACCTCAATACACCACCCGTGACAAGAGGTGACAGGAGGCTACACACACACACACACACACACACACACACACACACACACACACACACACACACACACACACACACACACACACGATCTAGTTTCCATTACTTCAGAGGACCTAACATGAACTTAAATGCATTTTCGGTAGACTCACTTTAAGCATAACCATATTTAGCCCATAATGTTAACCTCAAACCAAAGCTAATATTTTCTTTAACCAAGTTTTTATCCTAAAAACAAAGAATTTCTACCAACAGAATTTTGTTCTCAAGTAGAAGTTGTTTCCACAAGTTTTGTGTCTACATAACATAACAACATAATGGAAACATACACACAAACACTGAAGCAAGCTAATAATATGCCCCTGTGTTAAAATGCTCACAGAACATCCCCACCGCTGTCTCTGGTTTGACTGCAGTCTCCATAGTAATGGCATCTGTGTCCATGGCAACCATATCCGTGTCACTGCTGGTGACACAAGCTGTGCCCAAATCACTTCCTCATTGACTTGTGCATCACTGTTCATGTAAATAATAAGCAGTAAAGCAGTAAATTAAGAGATGAGAAAGACAAAGAAAACTTGTTCATTGTAACTGTTTTTCTTGTCTGTTATAGATCATTAGATCTATAACATGAATTAACACGAGACTTGTCATAAATAAAGCTCTATAAATATGCTCACGTAAAGCAGAATTCAAACTTGTACAGAAAAAGAGACAAAAAACCTTCCTAAACCTTTTCTACGACAAACTAAGAGAACTTTTGAGTTACTTTTTTCATTTTCATTTTACAAGATGGCTGCTAAGTGGCAGGAGTTGCTTTTTGCCCTATTTTTTTGTTAGAATCTTTTTAGAACACAAATTCAAACACAAGCAAAGTGAATGTCTTTGCTTAGCCGTCAATATCTTACAAAGAGTGCCACTGTCCAATAAGAGGATTTAGCCAGAAGTGAACTAATGGAAAGGACTTATTTTCCAGAAACGACAGGTAGATTTGGTTAAAAGCACGTGTTGTGAGTAAAGCTGCCTAGCTAAAACATAGCAATACAAGTAAAGTCAGCAAATGTAACACTGCTCAGCCAGCAAATATTAGCAGACTAACATTCAAATACTCTTATTGCTCTATCTACTATAAAACACAATGAGGACCTGTGTTGAACATTAGCAGTTAGCAAAGTTGTGCGAACAGCAAATAATACAAATTGTTTGTGTTACACAGCATTTGAAAGGCATTGCAACCATAAACTATTCAGCAATATTTTGCTAGAAGTCTGAAACTTCATAAAGGCCTTTTAATGTTAAGGAGATACTAGTAAAGACTGGCAAGACTTGTGACTCTTGTTACCACAATAGTTTGGCAGGAGGATTGGGAGTAAAGCAGATTTGTTTGCTCGTAAATCCAGATGCCGGGTAAGATTAGGATTAGGAAACTTATTTTACAACTCTAAAGGTTTTTATGTGGATATTCAGGTTGCTCACCATGTCACACGCATTACATCTGCATTCTGACCCAATTTTCTGTTGCTCATTATCTTTATAACCTTGGAGCTTTAAGCTTGTATTATAATATAAATCTCTCTGAATGGAAACATTACATAAATGCTTGAGATATGAATTGCAGCAGATGCATATTACTGACTTGTGCCTGTATATGTTTATGATATTGAAGGATTATTGCTGCTACACATTTTTGCACTCAGTCCACAGGGCTATATGTGAACTGGCCTTGGTCCACACTCGGCTGTCCTGTTTGTTTGCTTTGGTTTGGGTATAGTTTGATCAGTTTGGCTAAGAATCAGGTTCAGTTGCTGTAACTTTAGTTACTGAGAATTGTGTTCAATTTGTGTAGCTTTTAGGCAATTGGTGGCACTAGAAATTTGGTTCATCGGTTAATAGAAGTTTGTGCTGTGTAAAGCATGGTATTGGTATCAAATTCCTGGCTTCTGTCAGGTGTGAGGTTTTGGAGCAGCATTTTCAAAGTGTTACCCAGTTCTCTGTAGTTACACTTTTTCCTTTAGCCACCATACCACACTCAAGACTTTTTCAACTTTTATACAAGGAACGAACCCAGGAATCAGCCATAGACTTAAGATAGAAATTATTCTGAAAGGGATGTGTGACAATGACTGATTCAGTCAAACCTTTTAAAGACTGTCTGTGACCTGTTTGTCGTCTGGAGTAGAGTTTAAGTTCCCAAGTTACATCGTCTAGTTTCTGAAAATATGCTTGTTTAACATGTAGATACATCTTAATTAGATAGTAGGAAAAATCAATGTCCCATGTTTAGTCATACAAAGAACATATTACGTTTCTTTTTCTCTAAACAGTTGTTGGATGTCAGTATCAAATCCAAAATGGTTATATGGAAACAGCAAAATTCTAGGAAGTGCTGTGTGAATGCAGGAAAAAAAGGGATCTTACACATCAAAAACTTAAAAGCAACATGAATTATGCTAACTAAGTGGAACAGTATTAAAGCTTTCTTCTGTCTACCAGTACTATGTTTTATTTTTCTTAAAAATTTCTTTCACTGCCTTGAATTTTTACCTTCACTGGTTTTCTGGACTGCACGCTATACTGACTTTGGTATTAATGGATGACAGTGCATCTGTGGACCAACACAGGAGATAACTGATCATACGAAACCAGACAGCAAGAAGAAGCAAGTAACCCAAATCTGCCAGCGTCCCGTCCCACTTGAACACGATAGAAATAGCACCATTCTAGGTCGCTCTTTAATAATTGCAGAACTAACTTTCACAGTACTGTGCCCATGTAGTTGTGTGTGAGAGTGTGTGACTGTGGGTGCCTTTTTGTTGACATGTATTTCATTTGGGGGATTTTACCCTTTATTCAGTTATTTAATCACGTTTGGCATTTATTTGAAAAACACTCAGCTTCACAAAATTAATGTGGCATGGTCTAGAATGTGTTTTAGGCTGATGTATTCGAGCGACTGTGGTGAATGTGTGTTGTCTTAGTGTGTTTTCCTTGCGGGTGTCCTGACCATTAAAAGGAAAACATCTTTCCTGTCCTGTTCTAAAAACAAGGTCGAAAGACCTCCTGCTAAAACACTTCATTATGAACTAAACCAACATGAACACCATCAACACACAAACACACACACAGGACACCTTGAAGCCAGAGAGTGGTCCCATAAAGTGCTCCACACATCGATTTTGTGGGCTACTTTGCAACAAGATGTATGTCCCTGCTTTAAGGAGTAATCGAGTGCTTTTGTCCTTGGCCTTGTTAAATTTCTCATCTCTCTGGTCGTCTTTCGTGTGACACTGATGAGGTCACAGCGGGACACAAACAAACCTGACATCCTCTCCTGTTTATATTTTCCAAACTACAAATGAAATATTAAAAACGGAAACTAGAGGAAAATCCTGCCACAACAAATGCCAGTCGCATGCAGTCACTCGCTTACTTTAAAGTTGATTTGAGTGTTTTATTGTACTCAGCTTATGTGATGAGATGTATAATAGTTGAAGGTTATTTATTTTAGTGACTTTTTGTCAATTTTTAATTAGAAGCTGATTTACTGCAAGAAAAGGGTAAATATCAATCTGTACTAAAACTGAAAATCCTTACGTAGTAACGGCATTAGCAACACTGTAGACATTTCGAAACAAGGGATTGTATAAACTAAAACAACTGTAAGAATTTTAAAGCTAGCAGACATACACAACACTGTACTCTATTCACATGCAGCTGAATTCAGGTTTTATTTTTGTGTGTTTGCTTACTTGCAGTGGATACAGATGGCAGGAAGTTGAAGGGAGCTATCCAGAGGAGCACAGAGACGGGGCTGGCTGTGGAGATGCCCAGTCGAACTGTTCGCCAGGCTAGCCACGAGTCCATAGAAGACAGCATGAACAGCTATGGCTCCGAAGGGAAGTAAGTAACAAATACTGCTTTAATTAAATACCATTTTAACCACAAATACAGCATTCTGAGTCTGAAAAAACTAAACAAAAGCCAACACAAAAAATCCACATTTTGGTAAAATTACAAAAAGCCTGCTACAAACTTATTACATTAGGTCCTCTGCAATATGTTTTTACAGCTGTTTTTCTTTTTGTTTTACCCTCCTTCGATGGTAGTTTTTGTTGCTGTTACTTGGCTTTCTTTATTTTAGTTGTTTAGGAACAATTTCCCGTAAACTTTAGGCTGTAGATTGGATTTTTGTTTCAGTAAAAAGGACTAGGTGTTACAGTCCCTGATAATGCATTGCTTTAAATGGAGAAAATCTTGAGGGATGGCTGTTATGAGGAAAGGCAGCCCAGACACTTTACCAGTTTGGGACACATCGTCAGTAGTGGACCTTGGATTCATCGGGTGTTTCGGCCATTATCACTAGACACCCTCATCCAAGGAGGCCCTACCAGGGTTGATCAGGCCCTGGAGTGTGTCACTGGTTTATGTTAACTCGTTATTTCTCTTCTTCTTTCTTCTGAATTCATTTTGGATGTTGGACGATCTATTTGCACTTTAAACTATATCAGTAAAACTACTGAGACTATTTTGAAAATAGCACATTTTTGCAAGGATTCAAATTCAGTTCTTTCAAACTTAAAATGAAAAAAGGAATATATTTTAGTGTATCGGAATTTCAGAGATTTGATTCCTTTGGTTGAGGTTTTGCAATCAGAAGATGCTGTCACGCCTTTGTGTTTTCAGGTTATTTTCTTCCTCGTGTTGCTGTGTTTCTATTACCTGTCATACAGGAAAAACATCAGCAATGTCTTTGATGCACAGGAAGAGAGAGAGAGAGAGAGAGAGAGCATACAGCGCACCTATGACATCAGCAGTAATAGTGTAGTACTACTGAACACACTCATACACACACACACACGGACACATGCAGATAACTGCCAACCTGGCTACCAGCTTGAATTCCTACTGTTACATAACAAGACAAGTCAGACAGACTGATGTAGGCTGGGAGGGTTTACAGAGGAACAGGGGAGGGACGAAAATAACGAGAGGATGATTGCATCATTGAGTGTGTTTGCGTGCATATTAATATTCCATTTATATTTGGAATATGCAAATACGTTGTTTATGAGCTTCTGCTTAAAAACATGGATTACTTTGCATAGTATGGGAAAAAAAACGAATACATTAGCTAGATTTTAATGATGCTGGCTTATTTATTCTTTAGTAGCAGAAGCAAATCCTTTTTTAATGATGAATAAATCAAACAGAAGATGTCAGTCAGAGCCAACATACACAGCTATATGAAAAGAAGAAGAAGGCAACCTAATTGATTGTTTCCTAGAAGTCCACAGTGAAGCCTTAATAACTGTGAGGTAAAAAAAAATTAATGAAGGCATTACAGGCACAGATAAAAAAATAAAAAAGACAAAGAGAGTTTTAGAAGGAGAAAGAGTGCAAGAAAATCTGTGTTCACATGAGGCTCTTTGATTTAGCTTATTCAAACTCTGCAGTCTTTACTGCTCTTCCACATCCAAGTCACTTTAGCTGAAAACACAGCACACATCGCATCACGTCATATGTTGTCTAGCTTACCTAAATGGAGCTCTGCCTTTTACCACTTATACCACACACTATTAATTTAAAAATAGTTTAAAAAACAATGCCACCTGGGTCACAGACATTGCTGATATGTATTTCTATTGAAATGATTGTCCGACATAAAAATGTCGACATGCACCACCGAAATGTATTTGAATTGTTTTGCAAAAACAATTAAAAAAAACCCTCAAAAATAGTGGGTCACAGACCCAGTTCCCTGACAAATGTGACATGAAACATGGTTAATATTAGATAAAATTTGTTATCCTATGAAAACACCCAGAATGTTCTTCATGGTCCCAAAGTGCTGTGCCCTGCAGACTCACCAGGCTCCATTACCATCTTTGTTCATACTATACATGGTTGATATGACAAATGTAAACAAAAGATAACTTACACAATAGCTCAGAACAACTCAGGTCGCCCAGGACTTTTTTCCATTTAGTGTAAGTGTCGTCATATTGAGGTAAGTTCAAGTGTTTTTTTTATGTTCAATATTGATTATTTTGTGCAAGATAAAAAGGTGTATGTTGTGACAGAAATCGAAAGAATTTTACCTTCTCTGTATTTTGTTATTTGGTTGAATATACATAAACAGACAAGCTCCATAGTAATATGTTTTTACTTTATATTATCTCCCATTTTAAGATTTCCAAAACAATGTCAATATGCTTGACATCCCAAATTCTACACAAGAACAAGGAAGATATATTTCTATCTTAAATCCTGTGACTGATCATTGTCTTTTTCAAACTGAAATGAACATCATTTGTACATATTTGTGTTAATGAAAAATAATTCTTGTAAACATAACCCACATGGAAAATACATTGGGGAAATCAATGCTATCAATGTTCAAAAGATACCAGATCACATAGATTGTGTAACTAACTGGTGTTCCAGTATGTTCAGCTCTATTCTCCATGATTGTCTCATTTAGTTTTTTCTTTCAGTTCTTTTTTTTTATATATTAAAAGCACATTAAAAATCCCTTAAATAAATTATATAAAACCAGAAACAGAAGGGGCCTTTAAAATCTGTGCATGCACCATGCTGCAAGCAACAAAACATTAAAGGGAACAACAGTTGACTCATTAAGCTGGCAACAGTTGACTCACTGCATCATTTAAATCATCCGCAGCAAACCACTGCTCGTCTTCCTGTCTGTATTTCAGTCTTTACGTCAGCTGTCTGGCTCAGTCTGCTGATTGAAAAGCTCCATCATTCTCTATGCACAGTCATGAATAAGCACTTTGTTAGCTAACACCATCCAATCACACTTATGAGCTTATTGATTTATGGTGGGAGCCATTCAGGATCCAATGCACGCACACATTCACTGTGGAAACTGAGGTAAATGGAAATGCGTGTCTTTGTGTAAGAGAGACACACAACTGTGACTCTTTCTAAAAGGAGACATCATTTTAAAAAATATCCAGGAAAAAACATGTTGACACTTTACTGGGTTCATGTTGTAAAATTATAATGTACTCCTGACAACCAATCCTTTGTCAGCGGTGCAAAGCAGTGCTTCAGCTGCACTGTGACACTTTAAATTTTAGTGCAGTATGTGTGGAGCTTATGACAATGATGACAGAAAACATAAATGTAGTTCTGTTCAAATGATATTTTAACAACAGAAAGACAGTTTTTTTTTACCAATATATTTGTAAAATCTGCAAATATATTTCCATATTTATTTAACTTTAATGAAAGGTTGTTGTTGTCCTAAATTCCAGTGCATTACAAAAAACTGAGTAGTATGAGATCTTATATTTATGCGAAGTTCCCATCGGTTTCCCACTTGCGGTTTACATTGAACGTCATATTTCTGCGAAACAGCAATGTAATCCCCAGATGTGCCCCACACACTAACATAATCTAAAGCTCAGGAATTTATCACCCAGTAATACCCACTCAGCTAATGTTGTTTGACTAATATCTTTGCATGCGTACTCATGATACACATATACAAAGGTTTTTACCTCATTAGGAATGTAATTTCTTCAGTATACAAACATATTAATTGATGTATTATGTTAATTGCATATATGCAGCACTTTAATACTTTTATTACATTCATGCATTATGGTCACAGAAACAGAACAAAAGAAGAAGAAAAAAACATGCTGTGATATACATAGACCAGCATGCTACAACATAAAACCACTGACACTCGAAGTGAATAATGTTGATCATTACATGATAATGCAAGGTTCTGTTTGGAAACCTCCTGGTATTCGTGCATGTTACTTAAAACCCACTTAAATTTTTTTTTTCAGATGCAATTTCTCCAAGAAGGACAATGCATCACATAAGCTGTCCAAGAATGACTTGAAGTTACACAACAAAAAGCTCAAGATCCTGATCTGGTGTCCAAACTTCCCAGATCCCAAGCATCCATGGGATGTATACAAACAACACAGGGGAAAAGATAAAGTAACGAGATGCAAATGAGAGTTTGGGATTATCTTTCATCCCCTAAAATTGACATGTCATTACTTATTATATGCTGCCACCTGAATGTAAATTACTAATTTAAATAATTGCTTTCCTTCATTGCACTGAACGACTTCTAAATTATTTTGTAATGAAGCATTTGCATACTTGGTTTGCAGTTAGTATTAAAGGTTAGACTTTGTGCTTTTGTATGACTTTGCTCGAACAATCTAATAACTGAAGACAAAGTCAGCATGGAGTGTCTAGTTTAAAAAAATATATAATGATTTGTTCCTTATATGTGCACCCAAGCACTCTTGTGAGAGTGGGGATAATTTAAAATTGAGCAACCATAAAGTATGATAAAATATCAAAGTGAAGGCAAGGTGGAAAAACATGTAGGTTAAAGAGGGGAAGAAGAAGAAGAGAGGGGTATGGAAAAGAGATAAAAGTAGAGACAAGGAGAGAATGTTATCTCGTGGGGCTCGAAACAGCTGCAAACTGCATAATCTGAGAAAAAGGAGGAAAGAAAGAGACTAATGAGAGCTCTGGAGAGAAGGAGGAGAGGTGAAAGGAAAAGAAATGACAGTGAGAGAGGGATGTGTGTAGTTAATCTTTCCTGTCTTTCTTTGCTCAGTCTCTGGTTGGGAACATGGCTAATGACTTTATTTAGAACCAACATGTCCTCGTAACTAAACGACAGAATGGGTTGACTGCCACTGGCTCCAAGTGGCTGTTAGAGAATGGTGAATTATGTGACATATACTACTTTCCCCACTCTCTTAAATGTTTTTTGAGTAATGAATAAATTCTCCACAGAACCAGTAGTCACATTGCACATTTGTCGTTAAATTAAATTATTGCCACCGTCCAAGTTACGAAAAGTTCATTGTTCAATTTTATGCGTGCTTCAAGGTTGTGTTACCCTCACAATTGTCACTCACACCTCAGATACAGATACAATATATATACAGTATGTCTGTGTGACCTTTTACATCATGTACAGTGCCATTCAAAGGCATACAAACACTGCCTGCCTCATAGGCCTCTTTTTAAACCAAGTTCCTACAGATTTAAATGAATTCTTCAAAAATGCATGCATGCATTTTACTACAAATATAGTGCCAGGCAAAAGTTTGCAGTGTGTCCCAACTTTTGGCCAGTGTTTTACAAGCGACAGAGTTGGATTGTCAAGTGTTGAGGGGCATAGTGCGTAAAAGTCACCAGCATAAACACTGCTCCTGTCATGCAGGCACACTGTGCTCCACCTCCTCCTCCCTTCTCTGCTGTGTTTAGTTTTCCTGTGATCACGTGGCTCACCACTGAGCAGCGACATGCTGCAGTGAGTGAGAAGTACATTACAGCTGTAAATGAAAACACTGCAAACAGTGATGCATGCAGGCTATTCTCTGCTGTGGCAAAACCATCAACTTGTACAAAGACACGAAAGTCCATGAAAAGAGAGCTTTGTCCTGGAACAAGCAGCAAAATAAATGAAGAGAGGAGGAAGTAAATCCCTGACCCTGACCCCCAGCACAGAGACAGAGGTCACTGTCTCAGTCCTTTCATAGAAGCAAGGATAACCTCTATGAAAATAAGCTGGTAGCTCAGACAGGGTTGAAAGTAATAATTTACTCATGACTCGTGTTGGTTCTTCAGCATTACATAATGTTGTTTCTTTTTGTAGACTGATTACTTATCAAATATATTCAGATATTCAAATAATATATCCACAACACTGAATTTAGTTAAAGAAGTTATTCTGTTAGTGAACTATATTAATGTTTTTAAAAAAATACAAGATAGCTGAAAGGTGTCCTTTTTATTGTGTTAACTAATTACAAGGTGAAAGTCACAGTGATTAGGTCATTAAAATGTATAAATCATGACACATCACTGCTGCCTGGGATGTTTTTGGTACACAGTGGAGGTCCAGCTTTTAGCCTTGAGGGGTATATCTGTGTAGACTTAAACTGTAGGGACAAAAACTGACTTTTACTATGCTCCTACTTTTGAGAGTGTATTGGTATGTTTTTATTTACACATCATGTTAGACTCGTAGAGCAATGGAAGAAAAGTGCTGTCGTCTATTGCTCATAGAACAAATAAACCCACACACTCACACACATATTTACTACCTGGCTGTTTGCCACCAAAGCACTTTGAGCTGATTTGTATACACATAAAAACCACACAAAATAAGGACACATGGGGTCAAACTCTAGAGCCAACATCTGAGCCTAGTTTCAGGAAGCCAATTAAAATTTTGTGAGTTTAACTAACCTGAAAGGGGAGTGATAAATGGTATTCGGTTATCAGCCTTTTCTTTCTTTCTTTCTTTTTTTTTCAGTCCCTATCTCGTTATTCCTCTGGATTGCTTTTGTCCCTATTCTGTTACTCCTCTCTTCCATTGTCTCATTATCTTTCAGTCACTCACTTTCTTCTGCTAATTGAACTGCATTAAGCACTGTCTGGTCATGTTTAACCATCCGTGTCTTTGTCTGCCTGCTTTTTTGTTCCCTCTGCAGTCTTAACTACAGTGGCATGTGTCTGGCATCCGATGCTCAGTTCAGTGACTTCCTGGATGGGATGGGACCAGCCCAGTTTGTTGGGCGACAGACACTGGCGACAACATCCATGGGTAAGAGAAGACTGGAGTTTTAATTATTTTGCTACAGCCAATTCAATTTCTTACATTTCTGTTTCTGCAGAATAAAAACGTGTTTTCCATTTTTAATATACAGGCTGGGTCAGAAAATTAAAAAGAAAAAAAATGCTTTATACTCATAAAACTGAACCAAATGGTTCCTTAAAATCATTTTACATTGGCAAAGAAAGTGCCTCACAAATCAGCAGTCTTACTGTTTTTCTCATCATCTCCAGCATTTATTCATTTCCAGGCTGTATATACTGGATATATTGCATGAAGTCTGTCCTCTACAGCAGTGATTTACTGTAAGTGGGTCAGTTTCCTCACTGGCAGCCAGACAGTGTCCTTGGCCCAACAACAGTGACACTGACTGGACCAGCTCCACTCCAAACCTGCTGCCTGGTCCAACATTATATAATGTCAGAGAACCCAGAATAACTTGGCTTTCATCTGAGCTGTGTCACTTTCAAAGGAATACATTTGTCATTTTGGGGACATTTAGTTAAAACTTTTATTCCAAAGTTACTTCTAATGAGAGAAATTATTGCAATGTGCACGCAATTTTAATATAAAATATGCAGATCATTATTGGAAGAAAACGCAGACAGAGCTATGATTAGAGAGTACATATGAATGATATATTTACTTATTTAGCAGTAAAAGCTTGGTCTCTTACATGTTTTACTGTCTTTATGGCTTTTTTCTGTGAGGAGCCAGCTGACTGGGATAAATTATAGTGTTAAGACTGAACCAAAACCATGACTTATTAAAAAGAAAGCTTCAGAGATGCTTGTATTGAAGTTCACACCATTTTGCTTAACATAATTCAAGGAGCTTGATGTTGGGAGACCAACAAGATATTTCAGAATCTCTAAATAGTTTTTATATTAAGCCTTTATATTATTACTCTATTAATAAGTAACTTACCATGATTTTTATTGTTGGTTGGGTTTATTGCTACAGAAAACATAATATGCAGAACGTTTGGACAGATAGAAGTGTGCTCTATGTGATGCAGTATTTTGCTCTTACAGTAAACTGAACTTGCTTTGGGACATTGGCTCCAAGATTTGGTTTGGAAGTTGGATCGTATATAAAAAATGGATTTGGGTTCTGGGTCTGAAAAGGAATGCTAATGTGTCAAGTCCTTTTATTCTTTCTAATGGTCAACCAGAGCCATTTCTCTGGTTCTCTGGTTGTGCAAAGAAGTCAAACAGAACTGAGGTCTAGAGAGTGTTTGAGAAAATAATAAGTGAAACTACGGTCTCGTACTCTAGTTTTACTTATTTGATGCAGTCAGATATTAATTTAGTAGGATATGGTCCCATGCAAAGTAAAATAGGACATAAGTCAAAGGATCCTTCTGTGATTGCTCATACAGTGTGACTGGCTTCTCATTCAGAATCACCTTCATAATATGACACGGCCATGGTCACAATGTGTAAAAGGCATTTGACAAACCAGTGCAGGATGTACATTTTTATACATGATGGATAGTTTGGACATGTCTAGCAACTGACTTGAAGTTACCAAGTGATCTTACACGATTATGTCTCACATCCATTTTAGTATCTTCTTCTAAAACTATTTACTAATTGTTGGGCTAATATTCACCTCCTTTAACCTCATTTTTTCACCCAATCAGGTGATGTAGAGATTGGACTGATGGAGCGGAATGGGGGACTGGAGGTAGAGGTCGTCCAGGCCAGAGGCCTCACCATGAAACCAGGTTCAAAGGGACCTCCAGGTTTGTCTGTGATCAGTCTTTGAGCTCTGTTTTTCAGAGAATACCATTTATACCATAACGTGAGGTGTTTTGAGTCGAAATTTAACATTTATAAAGCTGCTTTACTTCTGTTTGTACTCCACATGAATGCTTTACAAGCCAGCAAATAGTTTCACATACACAACAGCCTGTAGGGCATATTTAATACTAATGGGATATAGCTTCCAAAAACATACTTTTTGTGCTTGACAATATAAAAAATAGACGAGTGAAGGGGGAATGGAGCAGAAGCAGGCGATGCACTAAATAAGTAAAAACTGCATTTGTCTTTGCTCATGCAGTAGTGAAATGTGCATCTTGATGCTCTGACTTCAGATTTTAATCCATAGATACAGTCCAGTATTAAATGCCTCCTCTGGTCAGAATGATCATATTCTTGACTTTGATTGTAGCGCCTCGCCGCTGCACAATACTAAAGCAGGCATCAATCCCAACTGGATAAGAGCTAAACACCTTCACCGAAATGGAACAAAGAGTATCTGGGAAAAAAACTATGAAGGAGAGATAAAAGAGAATAGGAAAATAAACAGAGGAAAACAAACAAATCAGCATAGACCAGTATATTGTAACTGAAAGAAAAACATGGTCATGACAAGGGAGGGATAGAGATAAAAGGAACTCTGTGTACAGTGTAAAGACAAGTGAGGTTTTTTCCTGCAGATTTTAGTGAGCCAGTGTCTGAATTATTTCTATCCTGTTATCAGCACACTAGACAGAAAGCTGTGACGTGTGTGTAAGCTCCAGTACTGTAAACTTACATTAGAATGCTGTTAGCAAAACCATATGTTATTATTAGCCAATATTTCTTCTTTAAACCTGTACAAACAGTAGTAGATGCTTTTATTCTGACAGCTGGTCAAGTGATCATAAATGATCATAAATCATAGTTTTCAGTTTTTATCATTTTTCTTTTCAAAATATACAGAGGATTAGAACTTTCTCCTTACTTTCTGGTCACTGTGAACAGCAATATTTTGAACAATAAGCTTGTTCCCTAGCCTGTATTTTGCAAGGTTAGATGGGAGCATCACCACAGGTATCTTAGAACATTCGAGGGTTATACATTCATGTGTTGTGCTTTCATCTTAGGCTTGTTGATGTGATTAAACAACATTACAGCTTCATTCACAATTCAGTACTGACACGATCAACTGTTTGGTTCATCTCAGTTCAGCCTCCAAATTCCATTTGTACATTATAAGGAGTATTCAATTCAATTCAATTCAATTCAATCTTTATTGGCAGACTTCATGTCCATAGAAACAAGACAGAGACACACACACACAAGCCCTCCCCCTCCCCAAAACACAAGGTATAAACTTAAAAAAAAAAATATATA